TGATTTCTCGGAAGAGTCTGAAGAGCAGATGGCGACTGGTTTTCTCTTCGGGGATAGCGACATTGATGAGCCTATGTGGGAAGGCCCCGATGGAGTTCTGTATGAGTTTAACTCTGATGATTCGTGGCAGCCTGGAGTTCACGCGAATCCGTATTATTATCCTCCGACGCCGGATAGCATGATGACGTTGGATTCGTTCAACTCGATGTCCTTGGGTGTTTCTGATGCACCTTCGGAAGGTAATGCTTCGCGCGATTCTGACTGTGTTGTGTTTATGCCGACAGAATATGGGATTCCTAGGCAAGCGCTGGCTTACAACATGGTAGCACCCGACGTTGAGTTTGCTACACCGCCTAGTCCGCCGACTCCGAACTTTGTTGAGATCTCGTCGGATAGTGAGTTATCCGATGCGGATGAGTTGGGTGACGGAGTGCCGTTTTCCAACAATGTGAAGAGCGAGCCGACAGGGATGTCTATTTCGCCAAGGAGATTCGCGAGTAGGACTTGGTATGATGGTCATGATGGAGCTAGCGGTGAGATGTTCCATTTGAGTTCTGAGGAAGAAGAAGTTGATGAAGAAGTGGATGAACAAGTACCGGACCCGATGTTTGAGCGTGAGACTTTACCGGATACTCCGCCGCCTGTTGAGGAGTCGGGAGTGTTATTTCCTCCGGATGAGTCGCTTCATGAGCCGGTGACTTTGGGATCTAGTTCGATGGCTACGATGATTGACACCATGATTGCTGCGGGTACCCTTGGTATTGAACCAATCCGACCACCCGAAGGTATGCCCGTTTGGAATGAGAGGATGAGGAGATCCGCGAATGGAACCATTGTGACTGAGTTGGAGCGTGAGGATGGACGTAGGTCCGAACCTTATAGCGTGACGCCGTTTTGCTTCACTTGCGGCCAAGATGGCCATTACCCGAGGGCTTGTCCTTATGTTCGTCACTATCATCCTTATGCTCGCCCGTACGTGATCTGTTATGAGTGTGGAGGAGAAGGTCATTATGCGACCGTGTGTCCAAGGAAGCGTCCAGAGAATCCCGGTCCGTCAAGCCCAAGCCCGAGTACGCCTGCGAAGAAGAAGAAAAACCTTAGTATTAAGTAGGATTACCCTAAAACCTTCAGATCGTTGGGTCCGGCGAGGTAAGTAAGGGTTCTAATTCATTGTATGATTCCATGTTGCATTTCCTTTTAGCTTTGCATTTAAGTTTGAATAATTCGGTTGTAATCGCTTCGGCGAGGTGTATGGAAGCAAGTGTGTGTAGTGGTTATAAATCCGCAATGTAAGAAAGTTCGAATGGGTATGTGTAAGCCCACCTTTGTAAGAAAGGATGTATGATATGAATGTAAGATATGTTTGTGGTTGAACAAAGTCTTATCGTTGGATAACTTTGTGTTTTGTGTTGTGATGTGAAGAGGAAAAATGTGGTGATGTGATGCGGAAATTTTGTGTTGTGATGTGTGAACGTACATGGAAGTACAAGCGGAAATGTTGTGTTGTGATGTTGTTTAATCATCTACGGAAAAGTGTGTGAATGTTGTAAAGAAAACTTTCAAAAATGTGTGAAATTTTTGAAGTGTTTGAATGAGTTTAGTTTATCTATGTGAGATAACTAAAGTGGTATTGTGATGTTTAAGTCTCAAGTGACGAAATTCTTGAGATTAAATGATCAAGTATGAGATTGTGTAAGGAAAGGAGAGGAACCAGATCAAGTGAAAGGATCGCGGGTTTACCTTAGTGTGTTGTTTCTTTTTGTGTTCAAATCGAGAAGTGTTTATCTTCGAGAATGAGTGTAGATCCAAGTGTTGAATCTACGAGAGATTTAAACTTAGGTGTGTGATCGATTATGAGGTTATGATCGATACACGAAGTTGAAGATGTTAGTCAATTGGGTTGAAGATTGATGATTTTCGAAACTCACGAGCTAAAGAGTTAAGAATGTTTGAGAATTTGTTTGATTATAGAATTAAGTTCTATGAATCAGTTTGGAGATAATCGGTAAGGATTAGGGAGAATCCAAACCGAAAATTTTTGGAGCAAGGGTAGAACTCTGATTCGTTTAAGCTGAGAAGTTTAAAGGATTGGAGTAACCAAGAAGCTCAAAGATGAAGAATCTGAAAGGAGGAAGTTCTTACGGGAGTAAGAACGTTGGCGATTTCTCTGATTGGGAATTCGGGACGAATTCCAATGAGAAGGGGTGATTGTAATAACCCGTACCTTGACATAAGAACGGCCGGGACGGACGATCGTGAAGTCGCGGGCCAAACTAAAATTTTGAAGTTAAAGAAAAGAGTTCGGCTTTCGTTAGTAATGTTCGGAAGCATGAAAGGGAACTTAATCATCGAAGAAAAATATTAGTTACCGAGAAAAGACGATTTCGGTACGAGGAAGTTGATGTAGATCGGCCGGTGAGCGCTGCGCCGGGTTCGATAAATTACAGAAATTTAAAGGAGGTCATAAAAGTCTAAGGAGGACTAAAAAATCGTTAAAGGA